AAGGTTCTCATTGTTCATTTGGCATCTCTCTCACAAATTTATATTAATCAATCCAAAACATTTACACCCCCATAGGTCTTACATTATACTGAGTTTACACCCCCAAAGGTATGTTTATTTTGCTTATATGAGTATGCTTATTTTGCTGATATAAATATGAGTATATTCTATTATTTCTCTTCTTTAGCTTTGAGAAGCTTCTTTTTGTTATAACTCTTTATGCTTTGAGATTGGGTTTTCTATTTTTTGACATAGGTCTTACATTATCATTTATAGGGGTTAGGAATGGCCTCTGGAGATAACTTTGATAGAGCCACTTGGAAGGACCCGGCCCTACAAAAACTATTGTTGTACTTTTGCATTAATGAGGTGTCCACACATGGGAGACAAGGTGGGTCACTTAAGAAAGAATCATGGGCATGAATTCAAAAAAAGATCATGGAAAAGCTCCATAAGAATTTTTCACAGAAGTAACTTAAAAATGGCTTCGATTATTTAAAGAGAAAATATCAATTATGAGTGACCCTCATCAATAGGACTGAAAATGGATACAACCTGTCTACTGGTACAATGGACTAGTCAAATGACCAGTGGGAAGAGTTCTTGGAGGTAACTACCTTGAATTTTTGTTGTTGTTAGGTAATGTATATGTGTGTAGGATCTAATAGGATGGGTTGTTTGTTTGTATGATAATAGGCCTACCCAAATGCGAAGGTTTTTAGGTATGCAGGACTCCAATTTGCCAATGAGTGTAGAACATTGTTCGATGGGGTCTGTTCAATTGTAGAAGTTGGTTGTACTTCATTGTCAAATAGGTCGAGACCAATGGCATCTACGGGTCTATCAAATGCTTCCCTAGGTACTGGTTTTGATGGTAAGACACTAGATGGTGATCCTATTGACATTGATGATACGCCTATCACACCTCCCGCAAGGTCCCAACCTCAAACACAACAGACTTTTGAGGAGTCTATAGGTCCAAGTGAACGCCCCTCTAAGAGGCAAAAAAAGTTCACTAGTGAGCATGATGCTAAGATGGAGAAGCTTCTTGATATTATGATTGTTGAGGATGGAGGACCAACTGTAGAAGAATGTGTTCAGAAGCTTGATGATTTTGGCTGGACACCTAGTACCCCTTTATATATAGAGGCTTCGRTCATCTTTGCGGAAAGCCCGAAAGCAAGAAGGGAATGGATCCATTGGTGTGGTTCTTATGACACACCCAATAATGAGGCGATTAAACGGTGGATATTAGTTTATGCTAAGAGGATGAACATATTGTAGGACTTATTTGTCGGTTTTAATCGTACTTGGACTTGTTGTTTTGGTTGATTAGATGGAACTTCTTTTTTTTTTTTGTTAAACAATTTGGGATGATATACTTGCATTATACTTGTTGGGTTTTGTTTTTTTGATATTTTGAGTGTTTTTACACAAACTTGATGAAATTATTGGATGAAAATGATATTTTGATATTTCTCTTCAACATGCTTATATATTTGCTTTTAGATTAATCTCAATGTGGAATGTAACCATCAGGTACAAAAAAAAACATGTTGACACCTCGGATGAAGAGGTTGGGTAGGATTATTCTCTTATATTGGTATATGAAAAAAAGTTTACGAAGGCGTATTCCAAGGATGCCAGATTGTGAATCTGCACTACCCGGTTGTCTTTATACACGTGAGCTATTAAATGGAAACAACCAACAAACCATCGAGGTGATGAGGATGCCGGTTGAAGCATATGTACGGATCTGTGGCCATTTTCATAATTGTGGATGGTTGCATGATAGCTGATACATATCAGTAGAGGAAAACATGGTTATGTTTCTGTTCTATTTAAGCCATAATGAAAGGTTCTCTATTATGAAGAGAAGATTCCAGCACTCCACCCAAACAATGCATACATACTTTCATCAAGTGCTATATGCTATGATGGAATTTGCACGAGAAATGATCCGCCCAACTACTTTTGATCCAAATCCAAACATCCCATGGCACCATAAATGACTCTGACAAGTACTCAAGGTAAATAATTGACAATATCACATAAGTTTCATAATTTTGATTGGCGTAGGGGTTGAGATCAAAACTATTTATTTTCTTTTGTTGTCGAAGGGTGCTATTGGTGCTTTAGATGGGACACTTGTTCATGCTGTGGTGCCATCGGAAAAACAACTAGCATGTCGAGGAAGAGGAGGGAAAGAATGTTTCTAGAATGTGTTGGCTGTTTGTGATTTTAATATGGTATTTACATATGTTTATGTTGGCTGGGAAGGAACAACACATGATGCTAGGGTTTTATATGAGTTTGCATACAACCCTATCAACAATTTTCCATTTCCACCTACTGGTAAGAATGGTGTTGTATGGGTGTTTGTTTTTTTTTAATAAATTCATTTGTTTGATAAATATATTTGATTGACACAGACAAGTACTATCTTTGCAATGCTGCATATGCAAATACAAGACACTTTATTGCACCCTATCGAAATGTGCGATATTGGGTAGTAGACTTTTGTCGTGAGCGTGCTAGGACAAAAGAAGAATGATTCAACCAGGCACATGCAAAGTTAAGAAATGTAATTGAGAGATCGTTTGGTGTTCTGAAAGCTCGATTTCCAATTCTTAAACGGATGGCGCCTTTCAATCTCCATGTCCAATGGAACATAGTCATTGCATGTGTCACTATCCACAAATATTTGAGAAGGAAATCAATAGTTGATACTTTTTTTAATGAATACGATGAATCTAATATGCAAGTGCCTAATGAAAATGTAGAAATAGAGACAGAAGAGCATGACGATGGAGAGACATCTTATGGGCAGGCTGATGCACAGTTCATGGCTTCATTGCGAGAGGAAATTGCACAAGAATTATTAAATAGGAACATGCATTGAACTATTTATCTTTGATCCTAGTTATGTACTTGAACTATGTAGAACTTCTTGTTTGTTTATAGTTTACTATTATGGTTATGTAGGTGAACAAACTTTTCTTTTATATAGGGAAAATGGTTGTTAGGCGTTCTCCAATAATGTGTGCATGTGGGATTGAACAAATGAAAATCTAATATGTGAATGCACACATAAATGAAAATCTAATAATGTGTGAGTAATTATTTTTTATTATTTTAAACACGTTATTTATTAATTATTAATTATTTTTCATAATTATTATGTATTTAATTATTTTTTATTCGTGTTTCAATATTATTATAACTATTAAT